AAAAAAAAAAAAAAAAGTAGCAAGTCAATGTGACCCTACTCCCATTTCAAAATTGCAGCCCTGAATTTCTGGCTTCTCAGAAAATCTTGAACCTGAGTTCTTTAGATGCAGGCCCTGATGTACCTGGTCCTACCCTTTACCTCCTTGGCATTTGAGGGTCATACATAGCATTTTGATGCCTGAGGTTCCTTTCGTCAATCTTGTCCCATGAATGTCCTCAGTAAAACAAAAATCCAAAGGGGAGGAGGTAGAGGTCCCCCAACATAGGTACCTCCCATGGGTGGAAAAGGGAGAAAGCATGACCAATCCAGGCCTTAAAGAGAAGGTAAAGGGTTTTGTTTTTATTTCTGCGTAGAGCAGGTTTATCACAATAGAGCATTACTCTCTCTTCTAGGGCACTGCATCAGAGCACAGGGGACAGGACACAGAACCAGCCAAGAAGAAAAGAAAAAACTGAAATGCCTGAGTTAATGTGAACGTTGGGGCTTCTGCTGCCATCGTACCCAGGTGACAGTGCCCCTTGTCCTAGAGCCCCGCTGGCATCTTCTTAGCTCCTGAGAGGTGGCCCGAGGCGAGCCCTTTTGCAGAAAGCACAGCTGAAAGCCTGAGTTTGGGAGCCTACACCCCCACGAAGCTCCACGGGAGCAAATTCAGAGCCTCCAGGCAGAGCTAGGGTCCAGGCTGGCTTTGTTTTTCCAAGGAGCCTTTGGTGAGTTCAATTATCTGGTAAATGTCCAGTGCTTCACCTGAAAGACAGGGTAAACTGGTTAGGGTGCTGCCTCAAGAACTGTATCCAAGGGCTCACTTCGTTGACATTTTCAGCACGTAGTTGGTTGGTTTGGGGAGTTTTGTGTTTTTTACCCAAGAATGCACTTTGACTTACATAATAAATCTTTATAAATATTCCTGGTGTGCTTGAGGGAGGTAAGCATAGATGGGGGGTTATTTGAAGTCGTGGTGTTCCCTTCATTTTATGAACCAGTTTCTAGAATCATACCTCCCTTTGTGATCGGAACATCACCTTGTAAAATCAAACAGCCTAGCATTTGGCACAAGAGTGGATCTCCCCGGGCCCCAAGCTTCTGCTGACCTCGCATGCCACGTGGCTGAGGGACAGAGGCCGTGCTCACCCTGGGGAATCCCGTATCTCCGTTCCATCCCAGTTGGGTTGGAAGGGGTTTTACAATCCATGGTCACTTCCTTCCTGAGGCACTGGTCAATGTCGACTGCACTGAAAAAGGCGACCGACTGGGGCAAATCGTTCAGACCCAACTTGTAGGCAAACATGCACCTGAAAGAGACCCAACCTCACTCCGTCACTATTTCCATACAGTGCCTACCTCCTGCTGAGACTAAAATGCAGTTAAAAGGCTCAAACATTTTTTTCCAGATGTGTACACATTCTTGGGCTAGAATCAGAGAAATAAATGACTTTGTTAAGTACAACCCCAGGGGATGACTGTTATGAGCCTGTGTTACTTACTCATGAATCAGGATGGATCATGGTTCCCAAACTGGTTCTAAGTGGCAGATCAACATTGAATGGTAATAACTTAATTCAGCCACATGAACTATGACTTTTACTTACAAGAAATAAAATACATTTTTGGAGTATTGAGTTTCCCCATTAACAATGAGCTGTCAGAATACTACTTCTGGCACTTAGGGAAAAAAAAATGTCACTTTTATTATAAATTGAGAAGTTTACTCATTTGATTTTTCAAAACAGAAAGGTTTGAAAATTACTCAAACCACCCCTGACTTAAGCCACCTCAGAGATCTAGTCTTGGCATAGGATTTCTCACTTTCTGTGTTGATGGGTGAGAACTGCTCAGCCAGGCCCTAGGTGGTGTCACCCAAAGCCCACGTGGCACATGGTTGGACACAGGCCCTGAGTACCTGGTCAGGAGGTTGGTGATCTGGAGGGCCAGGGCCGCGCGGTAGCGGTCCTCCTCCCGCACCAGGTAGCGAACCTCGTCATGGATGCTGATGCAGAAGCGCCCGTCAATGGCAAACTCTTCAAACAGCCATCTCATGGCAACAAGCATGAGGTGCAAGTAGTCCACAGCAGAGCTCTGCACCACCCAATTCACACGGCTGGTCATGAACTATGGGGGACAGAGGGGTACAGGTGAGGGGCTCCAGCACATGCAGATTAGCTCTAGGGGGAATATGGTGCAGGAGCCCCAGAGGTGCTCCACTGGCAAACTGGCCCCATTTGCCAAACTGGTGAGGTCCATGGGGAGCCCTGCTGTCCCTGTATCCCCTTCTCTCCATGCTGCAAGAGTAGCAAAATACCTCCCCCCGGACAGCAGAGGGCTCCAACGCCCGGCTGATGCGACAGCCCAGCACCGGGGTCCGTGGCTTGTCTGAGGTGGCGATGCTTTCCAGCTTATTGAACATTTCTGACTCTGTGCCTCCCAGCCATGCTCGCTCAGCAACCACGTCCCACTTCTTCCAGCGTGACCTGGGGACCAGAAACAGCAGCAGCTCTAGGCTAAAATAAGGCCCCAGCTCTTTTGGGGCCAGCCTGCACCTGTCCTCCATCCTGAACACAGAAGGCTCTCACTTCCTTGAAGCTTCTCTCTGGACCTTGCGCAGATCATGCAGGGAAATCCAGCCATCTTCAGTCCTGTTCACAGGGAGGTCCAGCTGTCTGACCAGCCACTCGCCCTCATCTGACAGTCGATACCTGGGAGTAATGTCACACCATGGGAGGGCCTGCCTCTGTGCCATACCTATTTCCAACCCCCTTGGGGCATGTCTGTTCCCTACAGGCTTCACTTCAGATGAGCAGGCTCAGAGGGGCTGTGACTTAACTGGAGTCATACAGTTGGGAAAAGGTGCAGCACAGACAGGAACTCAGGCTTTTGTGCCCCCAAAGCCTGGGCTACACCATGATACCCCAAAAAAGGACAGATTCCCACAGAGCCATCATTGGTTGCACTGACCTATGTCTGAGTCACTGAAGTACCCTGTGACCAGCAGCAGTCACTCCAAATTTGGTGGCATGAAAATGGGGTGCTCCCTGAAGGGGGAAGGCATCTGGAGACTCCCAGATCCAATCCAACTTGCAGACACTGCCAGACCTGTTCCTTAAGGGGTCCAGAGTCATGCCACTCACCTGCTGGAAGGAGCTCAGCTTCCCTACCACCCAGGCCTACAATGCAAACTCACCTGTGAAGCCTTCAAAGGCCACCTAACCATGGCCAATGTCCTTCCTCATCACTACCCTTGACTCTACCAGGCTCAAACCAGTGGGCATCCCCGTCACCTAGCTTAGCAGTTACATGACACCATGTCACTAGCTCAACCTTTAATTCGTAAGTCTTCCTCTAACACCACCAGAGGATGCAGACCTTAGAGCTGGGACAGGAGACTGGAAGCCCGGCAGGCATTCTCCCATCAGCATCATCCACACACTGATCTCCCATGCGACTCTCCTGCCAGCTCCGTCTCAACCCACTTACTGTTCTGCAGGCATTCACGTTTAACACTCCTACATTACTGCTTATGCTGTGTGACCAGCGCTGTGGTTGACAGCTGCTGACAGCGTTCCCAACGTACAGCTTTACCCCACAAGGACAGACTATTTAACACTGGCTATGAAACAGCAAATATCCAGTGGCTTGAAGGGAGAGGGCTCAGGTGACAGGCAAAGATGGGGAAGCTGGGAGTGATACAGTGGGGTAAGGCCCTGGATAAGAGCGTGGGTAGGACCAGGACCTCACCAGCGGAGGCCTTTGGTGGCCGCATACATCTGCTGGGCCTTCTCAGCCGCCTCCTGCCTCGTGAGCCGGTGGTTGAACTGCATGAGCAGGCGCTCAGCGAAAGGCTGCCCCGCTCCGTAGATACGGCCATAGTTGAAGACTTTAGCATGCTCGCGGCTGATGCCTACCGTGGCAGCTGTCTTACTGTGTAGATCGGTGCCCCTGCTCTTCCTGCCCTGCAGTGTCATCCACCCGAAGGCCGTGCAGCCTGAGGACAGGCAGGAGGGAGAAGGAAACTCAAACACATGCTTCATGGCCACCTGTGCCTGCAGCTGTCACCACTGCCCCAGACACACACAGCTCCTGCTCACCGTGCATGCCAGCAAAGTGGGCATCTCCAAGTACAGCTGCGATCCACAGCTCCTGTGAGTCCACGTCAGCACCCACAAGGACATAGCCAGGAGGGGCCTGCACCATGGCTTTCAACTCACTGCCTACGCGGTCAGGCTGCAGGAAGAGTGAAGTCAGGCCCACCTAAATAGCCACTCCTACCAGGGGGTCCTGGAGCCTTTCCTGAAGGCGTGGCTTTAGAGAATCCAGACAGCAGTGTCCTAACCACAGTTCAGAGACGGTCACCTGTCAGCAATGGGGCCTGCAAGTAAGGACGCCACCCTCCATGCCTCACCGTTTACCAAGCCCTTCACCAGTGGCTCTTAGGCTGGGCATTGTCTGGTCAGGAACAGGCACCCAGAACACGTTTGGTAAAGAATGGTCAAGGGTCATGATGTGAACTAGAGTCCTGCCTGACCCAGACCTCCCTTTCATGCTTCTTGCTAAATTCTCAAAGGTC